AATACTAAGTACCGTGCGGAAGATGTAGAATGGGTGGAACTCCCACATACGGCTGATGGGAACACACACTCAACAGCACTTTTTGGAAAATGGTTTGGTAATGTCACTTAAAACTGCACACCACCATACCCAGTCACCAGAGACTCCACTCCTGCACGCTCACATCCTGTATGATTCCCCTTCCAAAGTGTTCAACCCTAAGTGAGTATAACCTGTGCTCTCAGCAGTCAGGAGGGTAGTTAGTTACTTTGGGGGTTGGGAGTGACCTGGGAGGAAGGACACGTCTAGCACATTCTGCTTCTTGATGTGGGTGCTGTTTTCATAAGTGTATCCAATTTATAAAAAATTATCAAAATTCATCAGGCTGACATTCTCAGGTATATGTATACTTTTATGTAAGTACGTTGTACTTTAATAAAAGGTAAATGTGACTCCATTCCACTTCTGGGTATATACCCAAAATAATTGAGAGCAAGAAGCAGAAGAGACATTTGAACACTCAAGCTCATGGCAGCATTGTTCACAAAAGCCAAAAGGTGGAAGCAACTCAAGTTTCATCGATGGATGGATGGCATATCGTTCATCCTGAAAAAGGAAGGCGATTCAGAAACCTGCTAGGAGACATTCTGCTAAGGGAAATAAGCCAGTCTCAAAACAGGACAAATTCCGTGTGACTCCATTCACATGAGGTACTGACCGCAGTCAGTCTCATAAAGACGGAGAGTAGAAAGAGGAAACGGGGAGCTGCTTAGTAGATAAAGTTTCAGTTTTACAAGACGGTGAGAGTTCTGTGGATAGATGACAACAAGGGACGAACAGTGTCAACGTACTTAATACTGCCGACCTGTACACATAAAAATTAAGGTAGCATATTTTACGCTAGGTGTAACAAAAATTAACAATTTAATTTTTAATTAAAAATAGTTAAATGTGACTCTAGGATTCACCCTCCAAGTACACGCACTTATTTATTTATTTATTTATTTTGAGACAGAGTCTCACTGTGGCGCCCTTGGTGGAATGCCGTGGCATCACAGTAGCTGGGACTGCAGGCGCCCACCACAACACCTGGCCACTTTTTGTTGCAGCTGTCATTGTTGTTTAGCAGGCCTAGGCTAGGGTCGAACCCACCAGCCTTGGTGTATGTGGCTGGGGCCGTAACCACTGTGCTACACCGAGCCAACCTAATGAACTTATTAACTTACCTCAGGAGGATATGCCAAAACTTTCACTCCTCTTATTGGGCTACTATGAACCCTACCTTTTTAATTCAGTTGTATAAAAAGAGAAAAACTATCGTCCAAGCAGCAAGATGGGATGCTTTACGCTCATATAATTCATTATACCAAACAATGTCGGGATAGACTTTGTCCCACGTACACTTAACCTCCTCTCCCGCAGTGATAAAAGTGGGTCAAGAGAGATCTGTGACCCTCACTTTAAAGTTGAGGAAACTGAGAAAAAATAAAATCACAGCCAGAAGAAAAAACCTCAAGTTTCCTGATATCAAATTTAAGCTGTAAGACATCCTCATAGTACCCTCCAGTTCATTACTAGACTTTAAAAGTGAATTCGATTTACAAATTAGGTTTGTGCTTTTATTGCTCCCATAAGAAAATGCTTACTATTATATAGATCTTTTTTAGACAATGAAAAACAATTTCATTGTTTGACTTGAAAACAGTTTATTTAATTTATACAAATAACTACTAAATACAAAAAGTAGATTAAAACAAAATAGTTATTTTTTTTTTCTGGCAGAGTTTAAATGCACATAATGGATAATTCTGAAGAAAATGCATTTTCCCCACAGCGTTCAGGACTAAAATTCTACTGAAATCTTTGCTTCTAAATCAGTAATATATTCGGTGGTGTCACATGGGTAATGGCTAAATACGTTCTGCATATGAACTGAAAAAAAGTTACAGTCTACACACATACAAATGTGAAGCGCTTAAAATGTGAATTTAACTGATAATAAAAGAAAATGTCCATTTCAGAGTATAGTGTTAAAAACATTTCGGTAATAAAATCATAAGACCACATAAAAATAAGCTTTAACGTATGCACGGAGCAGTTTTGTAAAAACTGCTAAGTGCACAAGTAATAAATAATTTGCAAAGTTGTGTATAAACAATTCCTAATGTTCGGCATCATTGTAAACATCAGCACATGTGTAAAATGCAGCAAAGTCTGACATTACATTTTGTTTTGCCAAATTGAATTCCTATTATTCAAAGACAGACCAGTGGAGTACGCAACCAACATTTTGGCAAGTTGGGTTTTTAAAATTAAGAGTAACAGTGCAAGTAAGGAATGCAAAGAATTCCTAGTGCAATAAAGAAGAGAAGCACAGGCAATATTGCTGATTAAAAATTCGCCACCTCCTTGAGTTTCCCGTGGGGAGTGTCTAGGAGACTTGTGAAAGATATGCAAAGCCACTGTCTTAATGCCCAGATCTCTTTTAGGATTCTCTGTGTTCCTCCAGTTCCCTACCTTTGCAACAGTGTCTGTCCAACATTAGTCTCTGCAGTGTGAACAGTTCGTGAAATGCCCAGTTCACAGTCATTGAGAGAGGTTAGGGTGGTTTTCGTGTCTCCCCAACACATGGCTGGGTAAGATGTCTGCCGTATTGATGCAGCCACTGGGGGAAGGAGACAGATGGATTCTGTTCTGACAAACAGGCCAGCATTAGGTCCCAGCTGGACAACAACAACGACGTCAATCTTCCTTCCGGACACCAGGAAAATGTCAACAGTCAGTTTTCAATTTGTCTAGGGAATTATCAATTTTGGTCAAAGTCTTTTTGATGCGCAGAGCTGTGAGTCTTGCCGATGGGTTCTGATACCAGCATTCTTTCATGAGCTTGGCCAGAGAGGTTAATGTCTGAAGAGAGAAAGAAAGAAGGACACAATGACACAGGGACTTTTCAGTAGCCCTGCAAGCCAGGCTGATGTCTTCAACTGTTTTGAAGAACTCTGCAGGTCTTTTGAAGTTAAAGTGATGTTACTGTCATCTCCTCTGAACAAATTATCAAGGCCTTAACTACTGATAAAGAAGCCACTCTCTAGAGTTTCATGATCACTACCCTTTGGACTTCTGATATAACCAACTTACTTTATCAGATAAATTACATAGGCCAGGTTGAACCCCTTGATGATTTTATAGGTGTTAAAAGCAGTAATACAAACCTAGAGATAACACTAAAATTTCCAAACAGGGTCATTTCTCTGTGTCTCAGACCTGACTTGTGAGTAGCAACACAGAATTTTCAGCAGTCAGGAGCTCTGTTTGGGAATTCAGACATGCAGAGGTTGAAAGGAGATTAAAAGCATCACTCAAACTCTCTCACTTTAAATATGACACTGCAGGTCTAGGGCCAGGAGCAGTCGTAATGAGTCTCCCATTTCCTGGAGCCGGTCCATCATAGAAATCTTTGTGAACGCTGTCACTCATTAGCAAGATCTATCGGATATGGCTGCTGCAAGAACTTTTCTGAACCTACTCAAGTATGTCTAAGACCTTTCTATGTAAAACAGGGAGAGAAAACAACAAGATATGCAAGGCAGCTCACTTGGATGCCATGCCAGTGAAAACGCAAGGCCAAACAAGTAGGGAACAAGCAGGGATTGCTCTAAAACCAAGGAGCTAGCCCTCTTACCGGATCTGAGAACCATCTGTTGGGTATGTTTGGCCTCTGCTGATCCACACAGACTACTTTCCTCATGTCTTCAAAACTTGGGTCATTGGGAACCACATCGTAGAATGGTGGCTTGTAATCCTCCACTATACCTGCACATAGGACAAGAATTGTGTCGGGTCAGCAAGAGAACAGAGGTGCCTCTGAGGTTTTACTGATTGAGTGTCACACGGACGAATGTGACAGGACAAGTACCCATCACCTTCCTCATGCCTCATGGCAGTTCTGGAAGCCACAGGTAGGTCCTAACATAAGTGGAGAACAAGGCAGTAAAAATAGACTCAGCTGGTAATCAGAAGAAGAATAATTATTAGAAGAAAATGTGAAAACTTCTCAGGCAACCATATTTACTAACAAAATGTTCCGATAGTTGTATGAGTAGCTCTGTCATGCCCAACTGGGGTACTGGAGACCTAGGATAAACATTCCTTTGCGGGTTTAAGAAGATACAAAACACCTAAGAAAGTTCATGAATCCGGTGTTTTCAAACCATAAATACAAAAAGTCACCCACAAATTAGTGTTAGAGGCAAATTAATGAATCAGGACTATCATCAAAATTCCTGATTCTGTAATGAAATGATATTGTCAAAAACGTCATTGTCACAAAAGAATCCTTCCCATTAAGAGGAATACAAAGAATGGAACGCGATTTCCTCATTCACTCACCGTCTGTGATGTATACTGAGTACCCTCCGTCAGACACAGCTATCTGGTTGAGAACTCTACTATTTACTCTCAGATGGTTGGCACAAAATAAAAGGTAGAGGGGGTAGCCGCTTGGGAAGGCAAAAGAACAGTAAAGATGGACAAATGGTTCCCTTACCCCAGGGCAAATATAAAAGTGGCTAATTTCAGCTTCTGTCCCTGCATGATTTCTAAAAGCTTGGAAACCATTTTTTCCCCCAGAAAACACATATCAATTCCTTATTTAAGTCAAAAAACATTAAAACTTCATCATTTGGGATTAGATAATTGATACTTCCCCTTGTAGAGATAAAACCAAAATAGCTATGATTTCCTTTCCCTCTTCAAAGGCTTTACCAACGAGGACAGTAGAGAACTTGCTTCATCATCCTCTGTCTTTCCTCCGTGTAATGTTTTTCTATTCCTAAATACCTAAGAGGTTGTTGGGGGAGACAGAAGGATGTGAGAAAAATGATCATTTAGGTTTTTCTAGTGCCCAGAAGCCACCTGAAAAGCTTCAATCCCCTTTTCTTTTGTCATAAAAATTACTTGCCAGTGAGAAACCATTCCCGCAAATCCCATATAAATACAAACCATTTATGCAAAGATTAGATATGATAAGGAGCATCTGTTCAAGAAATACTACAGATTTTTTTAAAACTTTATAAATTTAACTAAATAAGAGTTTATTTTAAAAATGGAAAGTGGTCTATATTTTAAAAAAATCTAGTTAACATTCTTTCTTAATCCTAAATAACTTATCTACATTGTGTAACTGTATTTGTAACGTGTAGCAGGCAGTGGATTAAAAGCTTTCCTGGCAAATCATGAACCCTTCATATTGGGCATCAACGGCTGCTTTCAGAAGACTTGGGATGCCTTATCACAGAGGCCTTACCTACTTCTGAAAAGATCCCAGGAACCACTCAAACAAAAATATTTTAGTTCTTTTCAAAACTAAGAAACAACACCTAGCCCCAGATCCGTGGCTCACACCTGTAATCCTAGCACTCTCAGCGGAAGAAGTGGGTCGACTGCCTGAGCTCCCAAGTTCAAGACCAGCCTGAGGCAGAGCAAGACTCCCATTTTATCTAAAAGTAGCTGGGCATTGTGGCAGGTCCCTATAGTCCCAGCTACTTGGGAGGCTGAGGCAGGAGGACTGCTTGAGCCCATGTGGTTGAGGTTGCTGTGAGCTGTCATACTAAGGCACTCTACCAAAGATGACAAAGTAAGACTCTGACTCCAAAAAAAAAGAAAGAAAAGAAAAGAAACAACACCTAAAACATAACCAAACATGGACCCAGAGAGGTAACTTATATCCTTTCGAAGCCCAAATAAATTTATAGAAAACAGTAAGGGGTGTGCCCTTCATTGTCTCCCAATTTTTCTGAGAGAGAACACATTTAATAGGGTGGCTTAAATGTTAAAAAAAAAAAAAAAACAAGCATAATAGCTAGCTATTTGGGGTAAGATGCCTGTTGAGCTTGAGAAGGGTCATATGAATTTGACCAGTTTTCTATAGGTGCAAAAGAAAATAAAGCATGGCTGCATTTTTAAAATGCAGGATCTAGTGATCTCCAACAATGAATTTCATTATATGAACTGAAGTTTTCTCTTGTTTCTATTTCCTGTATTTTAATCTTCTTAAATGCCCCCTTGTTTTAACAAAACGAGTTAAGTGTTAAAAGACCATTGAACTGATTATGCCTGGAGTTTAGTCAAACCTTTATTCAACTATTGGCCAGTTATTGACTGTTTCCATCTTACACTGGCCCTGCTTCTCCAGCATAACTAAAGTTGGGGCTAAACTCTAGCAGTCACCTGAATATCCTCTGACCAAGGAAAGCATCATTTCAATCAATTGAAAGTACACCATGTATCTACTATGTACAAAATGCATATTAAATGTCAAGGGTGATGGAAGCATAAGACATGCTCTTGTTTTTCAAAGAAATCAAAAGCAAGTGGAGGAGCAAAAGAAGGTCCTTCTCTTTTTTCCTTAGACAATGGCATCTTGTCAACAAGAACCTCACAATTTATATTAGAAAGGCAAATGTAGATTAGAAATTTCCATTCTGTTTTCACTTGTTAGCTCTCAAGTGAACTAGCTGACTCCATAACCATTTTGATTCCTTCACCTGTGTGTGCCTGAGATTGTGTTGGGCAGAAAGATACACAAGAAAAAAAGATGTGGTGCTGGTGACATGAAGCAGAATAATGGGATGGGTGGATAAAAAAATTAATAAATAAATAACAGGCTAGTGTTAGAAGCAGCAGGAAAAGAGGATGGGTGGGCCAGTGGTACTTAGCGGGACTCAGAAGGAGCTGCTGTGCAGCTTACTGAGTCCCTTGGATAAACAATGAGTGCCATGGAAGCACAAACAAGCTTTCAAACAGAAAGGGAGGAATTCACAAGGCAGAAGACAGGACAGGGAAGAGGAAGTACCAAGGAGACAGCGCAGTCCGGGCAGAGGAAGGGCTGAGGCCAAGACAAGAACTTACAAAGAATCCTCAGGTGGTGGAGAGACAGAAAGAAGTTCCTCGCAGCCCACGTGGGGCACACACGGTGGTGGGAGTGGGAGGAGAAGCAAGGGTGGGTGGGAGATGAGGCCAGCCTGTCAGGACACAAGTGTTGTCAAGGTGGGAGGCGACTGACTTACAATTGTGCCTTATTTCTGCCAGAAATTGACAAACAGTCAGGGTAGCCAGGCAAAAAAAGTGAACTTCGAGTCCTTTAAAGGCAGCACCCAACCAGCAGCTAGCTGCCAAATCATGAGCCAGCAAAGAGGACAGCATGAATTCAGGAAAGTCACTAAAAATACACAGCACTTCGAGTGCCAAATGAGTGGTACGAACAACAAATGATACAGGAATGCAGGGGAAGAGAGGAACTCTTAAATAGTGGTCAAGGAAGGAACAGACTGAGCCAGGCCTTGCCTTCATGGAAGGCGGCTGGTGTGACTCAAAGGGGCCACAAGAAAGGAATCAGAAACATTATTCATAACCTACTCCCCCACAACTTTTTGGCATGTGCATCTGATTTATACGATTGTTTTTTTCCTGGGCATATGTCTAAATGAACGTTTTTTTCTTCTGCAGGGCAAGCCTGTCTTCGCCAAGCGATATCCCTACCATTAATGTGTAAACCCCATAGCTGCCAGGCCTTGGTTTTTTCCACCACCTTTGAAGTACACATCACAAAGCTGACATGCAGAGCAATAAAAATGCCCTAGAAAGTGCTTCAAAAAGCAAGTCTTCATAAAATGCAGGTGTCCAAAATCAGTCCTTCCTACAGAGCTTGCCCACCAAGCACTTGGACCAGACACCCTCTTTTCCTCCTTTGACGGCTGCTCGTGGGACCTGCAGGTCCATCTGCTCAGTCCTCCCCTGCCAACCCTCCACCACCTCCCTCTGTGTCCAGCAAGATCTTTTGGAAAACTGAGGTAAGAGCTGATGTGCCCCTGCTCTGCGTGCACCCCTCAGTGCTGTCCATGGAGCGAGCTCCTTCTCCACCGAAGTCCAGGCCCACCACTGTCCTTACATACCTGGCCATCATGACACCTCAATTACCTGCAGTCCCATCAGCAGGCTATCTTAATGAATTCCTTCAGCTCTCCTTTCTGGCTGGCACAGCACTCTTCATCCACTGTCTGATTTTATTTCTCATTCCTAAATGCACCTCACATCCCCCCAACCTGGTCCAACTGAGCTCCTATTCAAATCACTTATGATTTAGCTTATGCTTCCTGTCCACTGAGAACACTCCCTCCATCCCTGGTTCCACAGCATGGGGCCCTTGACAAAGGCTCTGTGCCCACCCTACACTCAGCCACCTCACTGTGTACCTCAACCTAGTGGCTTGATCTAGTGATTTATAATTTGACTGTTCGGTGAAAATGTGAACATCTTTAAATTGGATCATTTGGGGTTTTTTCTTTTTTTTTTTTTTTTGGTCAACTTCTTCCCCAGAGCCTAACACAATACCCAGAATATTACAGACACTAAATACACATTGACTGATATTAGTCAAGTGAATGCTGTTTATATATAAATGTCTACAATCCTTTAACCAAAACTGTTGAGGTTAGATGTGTTTGCAGAATTTCATAAAGGTAATAGGAGGCATACCCTGTATGTTCTGGGAGTTTGAGGAGGAGCCTGGAGCAAATACACTTCTTCAGCAAAATACATGAATAGTCACACTACATGGAATAAATATGGGCTATAAAAAGATTGATGTCCACTTGATTATCACACGAGTTCCAGTCTGATGTTCTGACAAATAAGTTATGTAAAAGCTTTTGAGTTTAAAGGTTTGGGGACTTCTCAGCCGCAGATAAGTTAACTGTGGACCCCTGCTATACTTTGAATAATCCAAAGGTGAGGTGAAGGGGCACTGATAGGAT